GGAGATAGTACAAGACCTTCAGGGAGATAATATAGAGTCCCATTTTAACCTCACTACTCTGAGAGTCCATGGGTCAAAGACCAAGGACACACTCATAGCAGCTGAATGTGCCAGGCAGGATAGATAGCACAGCTGTTGTTCCTTCTTGGACTTTCTCCTACCTGTCTGAGGTGCAGTTTAGAGATTTCTGCAAAGGGGGAGAAGGAAACAGAGGCATACCCTGGGCCTGACTATCCCAGAGAGTAATACAACTCAATAGTGTACAGAACAATATAGTCAAACGACTTGAACACATATTCACAGGCTATACGCAACAGATTGCAGAAAAGTAGTTGTGTACTTATTTAGTGTTGTCTGCTCTGGTGGACTGTATGCTCTATGAGGGAAGGAAAAGACTGGATCAGTCTTGTTCACCATTGTATCTCAGCTCCTAGCACTGTGCTGGACACAGCCGCTGCTCAATATGTATTTGTCAATTTTTTTTTTAAGACAGGGTCTCACTCTGTCCCTCAGGCTAGAGTGCAGTGGCATCATCATAGCTCGATGCAACCTTAAACTCCTGGGTTCGAGCGATTCTCCTACCTCAGCCTCCTGAGTAGCTGGGACTACAGACATGAATCACCACGCCCAGCTAATTTTTTCTATTTTTAGTAGAGATGGGGTCTCACTCTTGTTCAGGCTTGTCTCAAACTCCTGACCTCAAACGATCTTCCCACCTCAGCCTCCCAAAGTGCTGGGATTACAGGCATAACCCACCATGCCTGGCTAATTTTCTCTATTTTTGTTAGAGATGAGTCTTGCTTTTGCTTAGGCTGGTCTCAAACTCCTGACCTCAAGTGATCCTCCCACCTTGTCCTCCCAGAGTGTTAGGATTACAGGTGTGAGCCACTGCGCCCGGCCTGCAAATTTTTTTTTAATGAAAATAATGGAAAGCCCATGTCACCTGTTAATGTGCCTTCTCTCTTCCTTCTTTCCAAATCTCTCTTCCCTACTCTCTCCTCACCCACCGCCTACATGTAAACAGACATGCATGGAAACAGCTGGTTCTGCCATATGCAAGTCAGGCAGTCATTTAACCTCTTTGTGCCTCAGCGTCCTCATCTGTAAAATGAGGACAGTAAAAATACCTACTTCAAAGGATTGCCATAAGGATTAAATGAATTTGTATCTGTAGAGCACTTACAACCTTACCTGGCATGCAGCAAATGCCATATAAGTGTTTGTTAAGTTGCACTGCAGTTCTGACATTGACCATTAGGAGTTAGAACAGACTTCAGCAGTTAAATGCACGGTCCTCCACAAGACTTATCTTCAGACACCAGCCACAAGCTCTGGGGTTTCCAGGCCAACTGCTCTTCTGACTATCTAAAAATTCATAGGTTCCCACTTATTCCCTCAGGTTTGATAATTCACTAGAATGATTCATAGAACTCAGAAAGGTCCTATACTTACGATCACAGTTTTATTATAAAATATATACATCAGGCCCAGCCAAATGAAGAGATGCATAGGGTGAGGTCTAGAAGGATTCCAAATACAGAGTTTACATGTCCTTGGGACTGTGTCACTCTCCTGGCACTTGGATGTATGATTACCAACCAAGAAGCTCAGTGTCCAGAGTTTTTACTGGGGTTCCATTTTGTGGGCATGGCTAATTAAATCACTGGCCATGTGGTTGAGTTCAATCTCCAGCCCCCTCTTCTCCCCACAGCTTGGGCCAATTCTGTGGCTGAAAGCCTAAGCCCTCTAATCACATGGTTGGTCTTTCTGGCATGGCCATCCCCCAACCTGAAAATACCTAGGGGCCCTCTGTGAGTCACCTCCTTCGCATAAACTCAGGCATATTCCCAGAGGCCCACCATGAATGACAAAGACACTGGATCACATAGGAAATTCCTAGGATTTAGAGGCTAGCTCCTAGGAACTGGAGACAAAGGCCAGTCAAATTCTTTGTTAAACAGCATAATATTTACTGAATTGAACAGGTAGACGGAGCAAGAAAAGAATTCTAGGAAAGATGGTGTTTCTTTTTAAGAAAGACGCAGGAATGTGTCCAGCACATTGTGGCATAGTAGGGAGAGCCACCCTCTGCAGATAATTATCTTTGCTGTCCAGTAGTCCCCCCTTAGCTGGGTTTTGCTTTCTGTGGTTTCAATCACCTGCAGTACAGTACAATAAGATATTTTGAAAGAAAGAACACATTCACATAACTTTTATTACAGTAAATTGTTATAATTATTCTGTTTTATTATAGTTACTGTTAATCTCTTACTATGCCTTATTTATAAATTAAACTTTATCATAGGAATGTATACATAGGAAAAGACATAGTACAAACAGAGTTCAGTACTATCTGTGGTTTCAGGTATCCACTGGGGGTCTTGGAATGTATCCGTTGCAGATCAGCGAGGGACAGCTGTAATGGAATGCACCAGATTTGAGTCAAATGAGCAGGGCTCTGACCACAGTACTGCCATTCACTAATTGTGGTTCCACCTTGTTGGAATATATGGATCATTATAAACCATGTGAAATACTTTCTATGAGAGGTGGGCATGATTTAAACACACACAAGTAGGGATCAAAACACCAAAGACTTGTATTATTTCTCACAATATTGTGTGTTGATTTGGCAGTTTCTGGCTCCATGTGGTGGTGTTGGCTCTACATGCAATTCACATGACTACATTCAGCTGGCCAATGGCTGGGCTGAAAGATCCAGGATGGTCTCCCTCATATGTCTGGGGGCCTGGGTGCTGATTGCTAGGGTGGCTCAGTTCTCACCCATGAAGCCTCTCTCTACACATGATGTCTCATCTTTCAGTGCTTCTCTGTGCAATGGCCTCTCTCCAGGAGAATAGCCTGGGTTTCCTGACAAGAGAGCAAAAGCGGAAGCTGCCAGGTCTCTTAAAGCCCAGAACAGGCACAGCATTTTTTCCACCGGGATCTGTTGGTCAAAGCAAGTCAGAGGCCAGCACAGTTTCAAGGGGAGGGGAACTATTCTACCACTTGGCGGGAAGACCAGCATGTTGCGTGTGTGTACAGGGAGGAGAGGGATAATTGCAGCCATCTTTGGAGACTCTGCCGTATTCTCTGACCCTCAGTTTCCTCATCTGAAAATGGGAATTTTAATATCTACCTCAGCTACATTAATGAGAAGATTAAGAGACATATACTATGTGATGTGTGATAGCATTTTATAAATTTTAAAGTACTAAACAAGTAGAAGATAGTTTAGTGGTGGGTGATGAAAGTAGATTAGAAGAATGGGAGCAGAATATACAGTGCTTTTTGGAAGTTTACCAGAGGGAGGGGAGACAAAGAAAGAAAGAGTATACAGTGCTTTAAAAGCAGATAGAGGAGGTTATTTTAATAAAATTTTTTCGAGTATTTTCTATGTGCCAGGCACCGTAGTATCTGCATTGCAACTCTATAAGATGGATATTTTATTGCTGTTTTACAGAAAAGTAATGGCAGGTAAGTGGCAGGGCCAGAATTAGAATTCAGTTCTGTTTCCAAAGTCTTAACTACTGCAGCCAGAGTTTCTTTTATCATTTATATCACAATCAGTAGGCAAATATTGAGGCAGGACTCAGAATCTGCATTTTTAAAACAGCCACGTTAATGTAGGAGAAGCATTCAGCCTCACTTTGCTACAGTGAACCTTCCCAGGTTTTTCAGTAGTTCAAGAACACTAAGAAGACAGGCTTAGAGGAAATTTTTTCTTCCAGGGGCAGAAGAAAGGCTTGAGTAAGGAAAATGCCTGGGGGTGGGGGCAGGGGGAATAACAAAGAGCTTTAAAAAGATGCTTTCTAGAGATTGATGCTAAAATTAGGGAAATGAAAGTAAGACCAGAAACTTTAGAAGCCAGACCCAACTATTTGCAATTAACCAAGTTTACAGTTTGTTAATTAATTCATTTTATGCCTCTTTGCCTTTGGGCTTATTTCCTCTGCTTGGAAATGATTTCCAAGTTCCTTCTTCAACCCCACCCACTGGACATTTCCAGTCTGAGGATAAACATTTGCCTCCTCTGGGAAGCCTTTCCTGACCCCCTCACTCCTGGGAGTCCCACGTGTGTCTTGCACCTTTCTCCACTCTGTCATTTATAGGCCCTTTACGGTAAATGTTGGTTTCTATTCCTTCTTCAGCATTAGACTGTGAGACTTTTGAGGGTAAAGACTGTTATGGAATAGAGGAAGGAGAAAGGGAGAGATTAAACATGATTCTTAAAAAGAATCATTGGGTGAACATAGGAGGTGAAGGAGCTACTACAAAGTTGTACATTGTTTTTTGAAAAGCAGGAAGGCCTATGGAGAATACAAAATGAAGATTTTGGAGTTTATCAAACGGCATCAGTTAGATACATAGAACCCTTTGGTTGTCTCTTTATGACTACACCAATTCAAAACAGCCTAGCAAACCCGTCCCTTCCATAATTACATATATTTTATCTTAGTCCATATAACAAATGGTTGAAATTTGTTTGTTGTAAATACAAACACCAGAACAGATATTTTTTCTTCCCATGGGCACGAGTAGGTCTGATAAGTAATTTGGGCAAGTTATTTAACCCTGTTACTTCATTCGTTAGAAAGAGATGATAAAACTGTCCCGGCGAGTTGCTATGATGACCAAATGTGACAATGCATGTCAAAATGCTTTATAAAATAGTGGTGGCAGGTAGTAATATATTTATATTTATACTATTAATATTATTCCTCGACTGCACCCCAGCCTTCCCCCCAACTTCTCTAAAGCACGAATTAGGGAAAAATAACGGGATTTAGTTCTGACTTTCAGACCCCTTCCTAGTCCGGTAGCATCTGCCCTAATCCAACATGGCGTCATTAGCTTCGGCCAGTTCACACCCCTGGTTACACTACAGGCGTCTTTCCGGAACTGCCTGCTGGGTAGATTCAGCTTCTCCGACGCCCTGTGATGACGCAAAAAACCCGGGCGCGCCTTGAAAGCGGGGCCGCCCAGGTTTGCGCAGGCTCAGCGCGGCCGCGGGTGGGCGGAACTGCTCGGGATGAGTGGCGGAGGGACAGAGACCCCTGTGGGTTCTGAGACCGCCCAGGGCGGCGGCAGCAAGAAGAGGGACTCGCTGGGGAACGCGGGCTCAGCGCACCTCATTATCAAGGGTACGGAGTGGCAGGGCTGTGGTCCCTGGTGGCTCCCAGCGCAGCCCCACCTTCCAGGCTGCGCCTTCTGACTCGGGCCGCGCCCCAGGCCGGCATCCGGCTCCGGGCCGGCGCGTGCGCGCGTTTGTGAGGGGTTGGGGAGTCGTGTGGGTCCTCGCCTATTTGCCCGGGCCGTAAACTTCCCAGTAACAACCAGCCAACCCAACTCCTCTTGCTCCCTCGCTTTCCTCTGTCGCAGTCCTGAGCCATCAGGCCCGCCTCCTGTCCCCTCCCCACGCCCTCGACCCTGGCGCAGAGACGCTTTGGACAGCGTCACGACCGACTTGTAATGCAAAGGGCAAGGGAGCTGGGAGTCGGGAAGGCAGTCGCTTAGGAGTTGTGTGACTTTGGGTCAGTCGCCTTACCCACTTTCTGACCCTGTCTGCTCCTGGATTGTGCGAGGGGTAAACGAGAGAACACTTAGGAAAGCGCCCTGAACACTGTAAAGTGCCTTAGCCTTGTAGAGGTGTCCGTTTGCCCTGGGAGCGTTGAGGTGGGAGATTACAACCTGGATTCTCACAGAACCTACAGTATGTTTGATTCCCAGAGTTCATAACAACCCTGTTTCCTGCAGGAAGAGCTTTGCCAGTTAGATACTGCGCTTTCTCATTCGCCATCCTCCCTTAACCCTGAACTTAACCTGTCAGTTCCACCATTCTCGGTGTGGAAGCCCTTTTATGATGAAGCACTACCCAGGGAGTGGCATCCTTTGGTTGCTGCATGTTTCATTTTCACCTTATCTGTCAAGATTATAGGCAGCCCCAGCACAGCTGGCTGTGGCTGTTTTGAAGTTTGTATTTCAGATTGTCTCCTAAGTATAATTAGGAGTGTGGGAGTGTTGCATGAGTATTCATGCTAAATTAAAATTATTTATGTGTGCAATCATAGTGAAGTACTACTTTCATTTTTTAAATTGTGGTAAAATAAATGTAACAAAATTTACATTTCCTTATGAAGGGTACAGTTCAGTGGCTTTAAGTACATTCACATTGTTGTGCTACCGTCACCACCATCCAACTATAGAACGCTTCATCTTGCAAAACTGAAACTCTGTGTCCATTAAACATTAACTCCCCATTTCCTCTTCCCTAGCCCCTAGCAACCACCATTCTACTTCTGTCTCTCTGAATTTGACTAGTCTAGGTACTTCATATAAGTGGAATCGTGCATTGTTTGTCCTTTTGTGACTGGCTTTTTTCACTTGGCAAAATATCCCCAGTGTGCATCCATGTTGTAGCATGTGACAGAATTTTCGTCCTTTTTAAGACTGAATAATATTCCATTGTATGTATTTACCACATTTTGTTTATCCGTTCGTCTGTCAATGGGCACTTAGTTGCTTTCATGTTTTTGCTATTGTGAATAATGCCGCTGTGAACTTGGGTGTACAAGTATCTTTTCAAGTACCTGCTCTCAGTCCTTTTCGGTGTATACCCAGAATTGCGATCGCTGGATCCTATGGTAATTCTATTTTTGATTTTTTTAGGAATTGCCATACTGTTTTCCGTATTGGCTGCACCAGTTTACATTCCCACTAACAGTGTACATGGGTTCAAACTTCTCCACATCCTCACCAACACTTGTTATTTTCTTTCTTTGGTAGTAGCCATCCTGATGGGTGTGAGATGGTGTCTCATTGTGATTTTATTTGCATTTCCCTAATGGTTAGTGATGTTAAGCATCTTTCTGTATGCTTATTGGCCATTTGTGTATCTTCTTTAGAGAAATGTCTATTCAAGTCCTTTGTTCATTTGTTAATCCAGTTTTTTTTGTTGTGGAGTTGTAGTTCTTTATATATACCAGACATATAAAGTGCTTATATATAGTGCTTATATTTTTTTCTACTCAGCATACTTTGCGAGACATGTCGTAATAAAATTCAATAAAATAGAGAATTGGAATCTGCCCCATTGCATGTCTACAAAAATCAAAAATTTGGGGAACAGATTACCAGTGAATGAACATGAGTAATACACATTCTTTCTTGGAAATTTAGTTTCTCCAAGAATTTTGAGGTTTACATCTTAAGCTACAGAGTTGTTACTGAGAAGAGTTAATCAGCTGACTCACCAAAACAGTTAAAAAATCAGAACTTTTTTTCTTAATTATGGCTTTTTAGACCTATGAAAAAGTGAAGACTTAAAATGGGCACCCAACACCCACTTTAATACATAAATCATTAAAAGCCCCACTGTGTACCTTGTTTTGATTGCATTCAGTGCCCCCTCCTCTCTAAAGGTAATCACTATCCTGAATTTGATGTTTATCATGCTTATTGCATTTCTTTATGGTTTTATTTCTTCTGTGTGTGTCCCAAAAGGAAGTATCATTTTGTGTATTTTTAAAGTTCATGTAAATGGCTTTAATCTTTCTAAAACCTGCTTTTTTGTTCAACATCATATTTGTGGGATTTATCTATCTTGATAATTGTAACTGGTGTATTCATTTTTACTTGCTGATTTATACCACTGTATAAGTGTGTTTAAAGTGTTCACATTTTTTTCTTTCGATATTACATCTATGCTGTAGTAAACATTTATAAATGCAGTATTCATTTGTGCAAGGGTTTTTCTAGCTTACATACCTAGGCATGAAATTGCTAGGTATACATCTTCAACTTTATTGAATTATTTCCAAATTGCTCTCAAAAGTGGTTGTAGCAGTTTACACACCCACTGGCAGTGGATGAGACTTCCTCTTAATCCATAGTCTAAACTGGATTTTAACCTTCATGTATTTGTAGGGAAGGGGAGGAGTAAAACAAGCTAGAAATTATGCCATTTAGCATGGGTTAACCCTGAATTTCATTCTATCTTTATAGATCTTGGAGAAATTCATTCAAGGCTTTTGGATCACAGACCAGTTATTCAAGGTGAAACTCGTTACTTTGTAAAAGAGTTTGAAGTGAGTATTTAAAACTTATTTTATAAAAATGCTTCCCTAATTGTTAGTGTGTTAATATGCAGAAGGGAAATTCCCTAGTTTTAAAATCTGATTTCAGTTCATGTGTTCATAAAATATACAAAGAAAAAATTATGAAGAGATAAAAATGCTTAGTTCTTTTCCTTCCTTTTTTTTTTTTTTCCTAGAGATAGGGTCTTGCTATGTTGCCCAGGCTAATCTTGAACTCCTGTACACATGCGATCCTCCTGCATAGCTGGAACTACATGTGTGCATGCCTAGCTTAAAAGTGCTTGTTCTTAATTTGATGAGTATAAGACTAGACAGCAGCAGACTTGGGTTCATGTTCTGGTGCCTACTTTAGGGTATTTAATGTCAATTTCAGTTTCTTTAAATCTATAAAATGAGATATAGTGAAAAAAAGAGATTTTAGAGATTGATGGGTCTGAGCATTCCAGAACCGTTTTCTGTATTTTTTTCTCAATTGAGGCATCAGCACTCACTCAAGCACTCAAGTTAAAGCTCGAGAATGATCCTTGGCTATTCTTTCCCTCTAGGGCCCACATTCAGTGGTCAAGTCTTCTAGATGTTACCTCATAAATTTCCATTACTTCTGACAGGTATGCCTGCTTTATCAACTGACTCAAATCCAGTTTCCCCCTGCTGCCAAAGTGATCTAACATTACATCACTTTTTAAAACCCCTTGATACTATTTGCTTTCTACAGGATAAGTCTGACACCCTCTATGACCTGGCCCCTACCTTTCTGGTTGTACCACCCACCACTCTTCACCTTGCATACGTTCCAGCAGTACTGATGCACCAACAGGCCATCTTATTTCATATTACTATAGTTTTTCACATGTATAATTGGTTCATTGTACATTAAACAGTAACTTTGCAAGCCACTGTTGGGTAGATGGTAAATGGTGTTACACAATTTCATGATTCTGTGTAAGTTAGAGTTCTGTTTTCAAATGAGACTCTGACC